TATCCTTGATAGTGTGTGAATTTCGTAGGCCGCCATTCATATTACACTGCCTGAGTCTGTACTATACCCTTTTCATCCTCAAAGTAAGTCTCAATTGGAGGAAAATCTTGTATCTCAACATCGATTAAAACTCTGGCATATTGAACATATGTGGTTATTGTATGAGAATATAACACATATAAAAAAAACTAATAATGATTTGTATTATCCAATTTTTTGCAAAATTCTCTTTTATGTAGGTTTATTGGTATCCACTGACACCACCTTCGTTGTTCTTTTTTGAACTTTTTTAACTTTGAATTTAACTTTACATAATGCGTAGAGTTGGACCTGAGTGATAATTAATCATTTATATTATAAACCTACTTCTGTGAGAGAGGTTGACCTTAACTTTTATTAATTTTTATAGGAAGACAAATAGGAGATTGTCTTTGTTTCAAACGTGACGGGAACTTTTTGTTTGTTAGGGTAAATACCAATATAGGGATGAATACTTTCTTTCCAATATTGCTTCCTAAAAAAGTTGTGATTACCCATTTCAAAAACATGTGTGTAACCTTAAACATTAGACAAACCGTGCAACTTATGGCCATGTGTTGCATGAATCGTGTTAGTTCTCATGCTGCAAAAGTTGAATGATATTAAAATAGCCGGTAATATCTAGTAAGCAAAAAGCAACAACTAAAAATAAGTTTTTAAATATAAAACTTTAAATAATGAAGAGACCAAAAAAATTACAAAATTGATCTTGTATAAGACACAAAAATTTGGGTTGAATTTTCAAAACTACATTATGAGGTTGTGTTGGAAAATGTTTTAAAATGTAATGATATCAAGATTTTGGTAGAAATTTTTAAAAATATGGATCAGATAAACAAGGAAGTGATTAAGAATAGACATAAAATAGAATTGAGAAAAGATAGAGAGAAATAAGTTATTTGTGTTCTAAACTTGCCAAAACATATACGTGTAAGATGTTTAATTAAATTATATTCATTGCATAACATTAGCATTGTGAATGGCTTATCTCACATCTCATTTCTTTTAATCTGTTTTTTCCATTACTTATGTAATTTAATTTCTTAACGTGATTCTTAGAAAGGATTTTAAAAAAAAAATGTAGTTGAATTTAAAAAATTGTATTATAGGGCTCAGTGTTGTTTAATTTTAAAAAATAATCTACATCAAAGTATTGGCCAACATGAAATAAGAACAAAGATAATTAAGTAACAAACAAATCTATTTTGCATATCTATAATCGACAAATCTCCCTAAATTCTGTCCAATGTTCTTTTAATTTATCTATACCCTAACACCGCCGACATGGCTGCTGGCAAGCCGCCAGATGCAAATGTTAAGCCATCTTTTGCACAAATACTGGGAGGGTCAAAACCTAATCCAAGAGTTTTGTTGAAGCCAGAGAAAACTTAGATCCAAATGCTTCAATAATCTTGTCAGAACCTACAATTTACAAAAGTGAACCAATGTTCTTGCTTACCAAAGAAGAAAATGAACGACTGTCCATCTCTTTCAGGCTGGCTTTAGTAGGCAAATTCTCCAAGGGGCGTCCGATGATGGAGTATCTATGGAAGGAGTTTCAAACAATTGGGCTTTAAAGGGAGCTTTTCTTTGGAATGATAGACCACAGGCACATAAGTATATCTTTTGATCTCGAAGAAGAGTTTCAGTGTTGCTGGATGAAAGGAATATGGACTTTCGATAAGCATCTGATGAGGGTATCAAGGAGAGAGCAGATCAAGGAAAATAATTGAGGAGGATAATCCTCCACATGATCAGCTGAACGTTAGTCAAAGGTCAGCAGAGGGATTGAAGGAGTATTAAATTATAATTATTGATAGGAGAATATCCTCCTTACGTTCAGCCTTCATGATTGTACATAGTTGGCTTTCCTTGTAAGCACATTGTGCTGTACAGATTATTTGTATATAAAGCTACATGTACCATGTAAATGGAGTGAGAATGAAATCATCTTCTTCATCAAATATTATTAGGTATCGAGCCAATTGTGATTTTTTTTTTCTCCCATCTTGTTTTAGAAAAATTCTTTTGAGAATTTTGTTTCATTATCCTTTTGAGGGTAACTTGATATTATTCAATTGTTTTTTGTTCTTAGTACTGTTATTGACGATCATGGAAGGTAACAAGTACGAATCCATATCTGTCAAATTCAAGGGCAAAAATTTTGCCCTTTGGGAATTTCAGTTTCAAGTATTTGTTGAAGGAAAAGGATATTCAGCTATCCTTGATGGCTCTCAAAGTGACGAAGGAAGTGCAGATGCTATAGCACAATGGAGATCAAAGAATGCTCAGATTATCACTTGGATTATCAATTCTGTCGAACCTGATATTGCCCTTAGTCTTTGGTCATTCAAAACTGCAGCAAACATGTGGAAACATCTTCAAGCCATTTATTCTCAAGTGGATCAATCAAGACAATTTCAGCTTGAATGTAATCTTGCAAATCTCAGCTAAGAGGATAGAGATATCCATGGCTTTTATGTTGAAATAGTGAAGCTTTGGACTGAACAAGACATGATTTTTTCTAATACTATCTCAGCTACTGCATACTCAGAGATTAAAGAGGAAAGAGATCGCGCTCGAGTGATGCAATTCTTGATGAAACTCCGTCCTGAATTTGAGAATGCAAGGGCTACATTGATTAACCGAGGTAATCTTCGGATGGAAGCTGTTCTCGGGGATCTCATTCGTGAAGAAACACGGCTGAACACCCAACTTCAACTTGCCACAAAATCCAATTCTATTGATTTAGTTTTTATTGCTTCGCATGGCAGGCATCATTCGCAGCAGAGATCCAAAGGTAAAAGTGATCCTCAGTGCCGATTTTGTGGTGAATCTGGACATGTGCAGGCTCATTGCAAGAAGCAAAATATCTGTAACTATTGCAAAAAGCCAGGCCATATTATTCTGGAATGCAGATTTTTGAAAAATAAGCAAGGTCAAAATTCAGCTTTTCTTACCATGGACAACAATGCAGAAAAAGCCAGCTTTAACAACACCTCACTCTCCACTGAAGCAATTCAAAAGATGATTCAGGATTCTGTGCAAGCCACTCTTCCAGGTGCTATCTCTTCTGCTTTGTCAGTTGCCGGCTTATCAGTTAAAGGCATAAAACTTGATCCTTGGTTCTTTGATTCAGCCGCCTTCAATCATATGACTGGCCAAAAGCATACCTTCTCTCAAATAAACCCTTGTTCCGTGAATCAATCGGTTACAACAGCAAATGGTAGGAAATTACCTATCAAAGGAATTGGTACAGTTTGTTTAACTAATAAATCACAAAACTCTGTCTACTTGCCCAAGACCTTTTTACGTCCCTCAACTCGTTGCTAACTTGATTTCCGTTGGACAATTAACTGATCAAAATTGTTCAATAACCTTTTCACGTTCTGGTTGTGATGTGCATGACCTTCGAACGAGACAAGTGATCATGAGGGGGCGTAAAATGGGCGGTTGTTTCATCTTGATTTGGATCCTGATACCAATCCTCGTATGTATTTTAGTGTTTTACCATCTTCATCATCTCTGCATGAAATTAAGGTTTGGGACCTTTGGCATCGCCGCCTTGGTCACCCAAATGCTAGTAGGCTAGAATACATGTTTAACTCAGGTTTCCTTCCAGAAAAATTGTGTGTCAAGTCTGATATCAATCAACATTGTCAAAGTTGTGCTCTTGGAAAAGCTTCTAAGTTACCTTTTGCTTCTGGTACCACTATTGTTGAAGTGCCTTTTTATCTAATACATTGTGATTTATGGGGTCCTTCACCAGTTTTATCTAGACTTGGTTACAAATATTTTGCACTGTTTATTGATCACTTCACACGATTCACTTTGGTCTATTTCTTGCGGGCTAAATCTGATCTAGTTGGTATTGCCAAGGCCTTTGTCACTATGATTGAAACACAGTTGGCAAAAAAATAAAACTTTTTCATTCTGATCCTGGTGGAGAATTTTGTGTATCTGAACTCATAACTTTCTTTGAAGAAAAGGGAATTTTAACTCAGCGATCTTGTCCTGGCACTCCAGAGCAAAATGGGGTTGTGGAACGAAAAAATCGCCATGTTCTAGAAATTGCAAGAACTCTTTTGCTTGAATCTCGAGTCACCTCAATTTTGGGTTGAAGCTATACACACATCTGCTCATCTCATTAATTTTCAACCCTCTCCTATCATTAAAAATCAGTCTCCATATTTTACTCTCTATAACAAAAATCCAACTTATGCAACCTTATGCGTTTTTGGTTGTGTTTGTTTCGTTTTGCTTCCTCCTCATGAACGAAATAAATTAAGTGCCAAAGCTGCCAAATGTGTCTTTGTTGGATATAGTAATAAACGCAAAGGTTATGTTTGCTATGATCCTCATCTTCCAAATCAAGGAAAATAATTGAGGAGGATAATCCTCCACATGATCAGCTGAACGTTAGTCAAAGGTCAGCAGAGGGATTGAAGGAGCATTAAATTATAATTATTGATAGGAGAAAATCCTCCTTACGTTCAGCCTTCATGATTGTACATAGTTGGCTTTCCTTGTAAGCACATTGTGCTGTACATATTATTTGTATATAAAGCTACATGTACTGATGTACCATGTAAATGGAGTGAGAATGAAATCATCTTCTTCATCAAATATTATTAGAGGGTATTGAAGTGGACTCTATATTTTAATCCGGCTCATGAATCTCCCATCATTTCGATGGGTATCCTTTGAAAGTATGCCCGTTCATCGCTTCAATGAAGAGTACTTAAGCAAATTGGTAGGTATGATATGAAAGCCTCTCAAAATTGATGTTCCAACACTCAGCATGTCTCGGCCTTCCGTAGCTAGGGTTTGTGTTGAACCGCCCTCACGAAAAAATTGCCTAAGAGAATATGACTTGGGTGGAGGGTAACTCTTAGTTTCAGCCAGTATACTATGAGAATCTTCCAGATTATTATAAAGAATGCAAGAAAATAGGCCACTCTATGGCAAATTGCAGGCATAAAAGGAAGTTGCACAATCTGGAAAATAAAACCAGGAATAAAGTTGATGAAAATAAAGGCAAGGATGTAGCGGAGCTTAAAAGTTACAAGACAGGAACTCACTGCAGGCTAAGGAGGTATGGAAACCGAAGAAAAAGAACTCTGAGCAAACAAAAATGAATAATCATGAAGCCCCTTAACATCAGGGCCAGACTTGGCAGAAAATAACAAATATCGATCAATGTTAACGATAGAAGCCCTCCTATTAATTCCACGGCAAAGAGAAAAATGTCCAAGGAAAATCTAGAGGCAATATTGGAAGTTAGAGGAAGATACATCAATTACATAGCCATGGGAATCAAATAAAAAGTGGAAAACTATGATCAAAACAAAGGTCACATAATACATCAAAATAGCAAGCCGTTTTAACTCAAAATTTGGAGCCATCGTCTCGTTTTGATGTTCTGATGAATCTGCATGATTTGAATGATTCGCATGACAATGATCATGAGAAAAAGGGTGATTTATATCAGGAAGATGAAATGGAAGACGAAGATGACTCGGTAGAAGAAGAGATAGTACCAGAAGGGAATGATTTGATGCACACATTATCAACAAAAGATGATAGCTGTCTGGACGGGAGATCAGACCTGGAAGATCCTCTTGATGGTTGGATGACGACCTCAGATGATGAAAATAATGAAAAGAAACCAGGAAGGCCCAAAGGATCGAAGAAAATAATCAATCAAAGTAGTGATAAAGAACCTCGTCGTCTGGCGAGGAGCCAACGTGCTCCTTCTTCCAAAGTTTAAATATGATAAGTCCAATCGTATGGAACATAAGAGGGATTGGGAATAAAGCTTCAAGGTGTAGATGACGAGTCATAGATTAAACCCTAATCCTAATGGGTTTGGGCCGGCTATCTTGGAAGTTAAATCACTGACTAAACCTAATTCGACTAGGTTTAGGGAAACAAGTAACACCACCTCCCTCATAATTGATATCTAATACACGTATCTTCTACCTCTCTCCTTATTCTTTCTATCCCTTTATTGATTTAAGCATCGGAGAGTCTACCCTCGGGAGACACTCGAGGCTCTGTCTTGCAGGTTTTAGACCGTCCGCCGCCGCCTAGATCATCATCGCCGCCCGTCCTAAGGCACCGTACAAATCCAAGCTTCGTCAAGTGGCATGCCCAGTGGGGCCGATTTGTTTGGTCTTCACGACCAAATTAATTTCTTGAAGCGAAGTTGGAATTTTTTGGTGCTTTACGCTGCGCAACGTCACCAGCATCATGGCGCAAGAAAAACAACAAACACCTGCTACTGCAGCTGAAAAAGATAAATAGGCGACTCCAACGGGACCATCCCCTAACAGGCCGTCTGGTGGTTTGCTGGATCAAAACCTCATGGAGGCTTTTTTCAAATCTCAACCTACCCTGTTCAACAAGTTCCAAGAATTTGTGAAGAGTTTTCATGAACTCGACAGTAACCAGCGATAGCTCGTGGTTGATAATCTGGGTACCTTCTCGAGAGAGGGCGAGCCAAATCCTAGGGGTATCTCTCGAGGACATCACCTTGTAACTCGAGAAGAAACTCGTCCCCCTCGAGTGAACGTACCTCCACCTCGAGTACCTTCAACCATCGAGGAGCAATTACGCAAGGTTCTCGGATCTGAAGGAGACGAGGAGGGAGGCGATAGTCCATTCATCCAACGTATCCGAGAAACGCCCATGCCCGAGAAGTTTGAACTTCCAGATTTGAAGCTTTATGGAGGAGATACCGACTCCATGGTATTCTTGCAAGTGTATAAGAGTGTTATGAGATTGAGGAATGCCTCCAATGATTTCATGTGCAGGGCGTTCCCAACCTATCTCACGGATCAAGCACAACTCTGGTTCGGAACCTTGTCTCCGGGAAGTATACAGACGTTTCATGAGCTGGGAACTTTGTTTCACACAAGGTTCTTCCAAGGAAAGAAGATTCGTAAGACGATTACTGAGCTAATGTCCCTCAAGCAAGATCGAGAAGAATCTATTGGGGTTTATTATAGCCGCTTCACCAAAGAACAACTTCAAGTCGAAAGAATATCTGAAGAGACGATTGTTGCAACCTTCACTAATGGTCTTTATCCATATGGGGCATTTGCTACTTTGCGACAAAAGCTGACAAAAGAGTCGGCACAAATGTTGCAAAAGCTGACAAAAGAGCCGGCACAAATGTTGCAACAACTCTTCTCGGTGGTCGAAACTGAAGTTCGCACAGAAGATTTACGTCGAGCACGAGAAAGCTTATACCCTTATGAGAAGAGGTTGCTCGAATACAAAGCTAAACGCCTAGGGGCAGATCGTGACCGAGAACTAGACCGCAATCGAGATCGAAAACACAATTGTGATCGAGAAAGAGGACATGATCGAGCAAAGCGCAAGGCAGGTGCTTATACGCCTTTAACTCGTCCTCGAGCTGAAATCCTAGAGGTCCATAAGCATGAGTTGAAACTGCCGCATTCTATGACAACTGATCCAGGTAGGTGTCCGAGACATTTATGGTGTGCTTTTCATAAAGATCATGAGCATGATACCGAGAATTACCACGAATTAAATGAGCAAATTGAGGAAGGGCTTGAGAGGAAAATTCCGAGATATGTGACTAATCAAGACAACCCCTCGAGAGAAATTCCAGGTGAGCCTCACGTTTCACACAAGATACCATAAGGACTCCTCGAGGTTCCCTCCAATAAGTATGCCTCTTGCTTTCATATTCTGTTTAATTATTTATCACATCGATGCTTTGATTTAGAATATTGCTAAGGATCTTTTACTGTTAAGCTTTGACTTATCTTCAATAAACATATTATTATATTGCCTCTTTTGAGTGAAATTGCATATCGATGAAAGACATGCATGACAGGCAATAAAGGCTTCTCCCCTTCAAATAAAAGAGTAAAGGCTTCTCCCCTTCAAATAAGAGAAAATAGGCTTCTCCCCTTCAAATAAGAGAGTAAAGGCTTCTCCCCTTCAAATAAGAGAAAATAGGCTTATCCCCTTCAAATAATATAATCTAGGCGCCATCCTCCTAATTCGGCATAAACAGGCTTCCCCCTGCTAATAAGGAACTTACTAACACAAAGACCTCCTAGAGGCATTCTACTCTCTCTATCTTGTATAGGTGACACCCAAGAACGAAAGAGTTCGAGAACTAGGGGCAACACCACGAAATTCGAGAAGACTCAACACTCATAGCAACCCATATCCTTCTCACCAAATCTCGAGAATATGGCTTGATAAGGGCACTTGACGAGTCATAGATTAAACCCTAACCCTAATGGATTTGGGCCGGCTATCTTGGAAGTTAAGTCACCGACTAAACCTAATTCGACTAGGTTTAGGGAAACAGGTAATACTACCTCTATATAAAGAGGTGGTTCCTCCCTCATAATTGATATCTGATACACGTATCTTCTACCTCTCTTCCTATTCTTTCTATCCCTTTATTGATTTAAGTATCGGAGAGTCTACCCTCAGGAGACACTCGAGGCTCTGTCTTGCAGGTTTTAGGCCGTCCGCCGCCGCCTAGATCATCATCGCCGCCCGTCCTAAGGCACCGTACAAATCCAAGCTTCGTCAGTAGACTTAAAAATTTGATTTCAAGGCATTCTGTTTCTTTTGTGATTATTTTGGAACCAATGCTTGAAGTTGCAAAATTAGAGGAGGTAAAACGAAGGTTGAATATGGATTCTGTTGTTTCATCTTCTTTTGGAAAAACTTGGACTTTGTGTTAGTGTGATTTTGATGTCATTGTTAAGGAGGATTTGGAGCAGGTACTTCATATGGAGGTCAAGCTTTTAAGGTCTTCAAAAATGTTTCTAGTTCTGGCAGTGTATGCAAAATCAACACAAAGAGACAGGCAATAATTATGGCAAGATTATCAAGAATTATGACCAAAATGTTGGCAAACCTTGGATGGTGGGACGGTGGTGGTGAGGTTGCTGACAATGTCATTAGAAACTTGGACGAATACTCCAGGAATTCTCAGACGCAAATTTTAATGAGTGATTGAAGCTTATAACTTGACTGAAATTCAGACGAAAGGGAGCAAGTATTCATGGGTTGGGAATCGTCAAAACGAAAGGGTGCTTTAAAAGTTTGATCGACTCTTGTTTACAGAGGAATGGATAGAGTTATTTCCTAGTTCAAGCATTCAACATCTTAATCGGGCTTCATCAGATCATAGTACTTTGCTTCACCAGTTTAATAACGAAATGGGAACAAGGCCTCGTATTTTTTTGGTTTCAAAAGATGTGGTCTCGAAGAAAGGAATTTTTGGATATAGTCTGGGCATATTGGAATCAAGAAGTGAAAGGCTACGGTATGTGGGCATTTTCAAATAAGCTAAGGCTCTGTTTGATTAGATTAAATTGTAATTGAATTAGAATTACAATACTATTGAATTGAAAAAGAGATATTAATATTGCAATTCAATCTTAATTCTTTCGTTTGGAAGATCTTAAGAATTGACTAGAATTAAGGTTCTAATACCAATTCTTGTGTTTGGATCCTTATAAATTTATAAAATCTAGAATTAGAATTAGTTTTTTATTATCTAACTACAGTTTAGTACTTTATTTCATTGAATAAAATAAATACTTAATTTTATATATCAAAGCAATTTATTACTTACATATATAAGATAACAAAAATAAATTTATCATATACATTTATATTAGAACTTTTGTTGTTTGAGTAATATATATCAATTTTATAATTTATAGATACATACATACTTGTGGAAAATCTTTTTTTATAATTACGTAAGTATGAATGTGATGATTGGAATTCTCACAAGTAACATGTAGAACATCCTTGTTCCTCTCCTTTTTTATTATTTTATAAATTTTTAATCTTTAGTTTCTTTTGGGGGGTTTTAGTGTAAAATTTTTATATAGTTGAAAGTAAAGACCATTCATTTATGTATAGATTAACATTAATACATGGTGCTAATTAATTATTTTTTATTTTTAGTAGATAATTACATATGGAATAATATATATTTCGACTTCTTGAAAGCTTACATAATTTTTAGTGAAAAAAATTTCAAGTATAGTTCAAAATACATTTGATAAAAAAAATTGTTAACCCATAATTAATACCATCCATTTTTAAAATAAATTACGGGTATCGTTATACATTTGATAGTTTTTGTTAAAAGAATACTAATTTTAATATATAGATCTCATTAATAATTATTAATATGATGAACACCTCGTTTGCACCATAAAGAAAAACATATGGTAATTTAACAAAATGCAAAAAAAAGGAAAAAAAAAAAAAAAAGCCCAGCGCAAAAGAGAAAGGGAAAACAAAAACGAAAAAGAAAAACGCAAAAACAGCGCATGTGCAGCGCTGCCCAAAAAAAAAAAAAAAAGAAAACCTCAACCCGTTTCTTTATAACCCGGAAAACGACCCGTATGTGACCCGCATTTTTTTTAAAGCCCCTAGAGTTCGAATTGCAATTATTTGCTCCACAAAAGAATTAAAAATAAAGAATTGAGCATCATCTTGAATTATAATTCTAATTTCGGAACCCCTATTTTTTCAGCCAAACACAATAAGTGGAATTGAGGGCCTCCAATTCCAAATCTTGGGTCCAATTCAATCCAACCAAACAGAGCCTAAGAAGACTTAAGGTTGCTTGAAGGAGTGGACCAAGACGACCTTTGGTGATGTTAACAGCAATTCAAAAGAAGCTGAAGAAGATGTAAGACTCAAGAAAATACAATTCTATGCTACTTGCAATACACAAGACCGAGTAGA